CCGGTGTCCCCGCAACACCACGAGCTGACCTCGCTCTTCGAGTGCCCGGTCTGTTTCGACTATGTCCTGCCCCCCATCCTGCAGTGCCAGGCCGGGCACCTGGTGTGTAACCAATGCCGCCAGAAGTTGAGCTGCTGCCCGACGTGCAGGGGCGCCCTGACGCCCAGTATCAGGAACCTTGCTATGGAGAAGGTGGCCTCGGCGGTCCTGTTTCCCTGCAAGGTAAGCCCGGTGCCACCTGCGCCCCTCCGCCTGGCGCCCCTCTGCCTGGCGGGTCTCCTGCAGCCCACTCGCGGGCGCCGAGGGGCAGGTGGTATCTCACTTACTTAAAAAAATAAAACGTTTACACTTTGTCCACCCTTCCCATCCCCTACCTGCCCACACTGGGAGTAGCTCTGGGCTGACGGTTGCCCCAGCACTGACCCCGGACTAATTGGCACGCGATCGTTGTTAGAACACATCACAGCTCTCCCCGTGCGGTGCCCGTGTGCTCTGCGGCCGTGTACTCGGCCGTGCGGTCAGGGCTGGGCCGCACAAGTAAAACTTCGACCGGGAAGCTGACTGTCTATGGAGGTTTGAGAAGGGAGGAAATGAGCGAGCTGCACGCACCCTTTCCCAGCACTTAGCATGGCTGGGTTGGTCCCGGATTTCTCCTGCACTCCGCACCTGCCATCTGCGCGCCCGCGACACGTGGGAGCCCTCAGGAGTACAGCTAAAAGGGGGAGGGGGTCACCTACAACCTGTGCTCTTTAATCCAGCAACAAGAAAACCTTGCAAGCCACGCCTTTCCCTCCTATAGCTTTCCAAGGACTGGAGAGATGTGTGTGTTTTTCCTAAGTGGGGTGGAAACAAAAGTTGATCAGAAATTTAACAGGAAGCAGGAGCTGTTGTTACAGTTCTTTATAAATATACTCTTGTAGCTGAATTTAGAATTGTAGATGTCAGTGTGTGTCAAGAAGGTTCATATATACATGCACAGGCCTAAGTTTGTTTTTGTTTTCCAAAAATGGCTTCTGCAACTTGCTGTTTTAAATTCATATTATCACACATATTTTTCTGTGGCTGAAACATAGTTGTCCCTTGCTGTATTTTAAATGGCTTCATAGTATTGCATTGTGTGGTCATATTATAACATCTGTTTACCTACATCTGTCACTTAAAAATCTTAAGGAGGAGTTTCAGAGATATACCTGTCTATATTGCTTCATTATAACCGAGAGTTATACCATAAAGTTCTTTTTCTAAACTTAGAAATGGAAATAATGTCATTAATACTTTTGAGTTTTTTTGTAAAAGTGACTGCTCTGCCTCTTGAGCCATTTAAGCTGTCTTGCATTTCCCCTTGATGCTGCTTATTTTTATAGGGCAAGAGCTTATTTTTAAATTAAAAATAATCCACCTGAGAATTGAAGCTTGAAACTCAAGTCAGTAAAATGAGTGATTTAATTTGGTCTGTGCCCTACCACAGATCAAGTTTAAAATAGCGTATTCAAATAAGGGTTTGAATTCGTGTTTGGCTGGGGTTTCTGTCAACCTGAATAAATGACTCTTCTTCTAACCACTCCTCATAATGCTTACTAATTCACACCATCCAATCAATAGTTGTTTCTCATAACATATAGACAAACTATTTCTATGGTTTTCTTAGGATCATGAAGAAGGTGGTAGCCTAGTGATTAAGAGAAAATTTGGTTATAGTGGACATAAGAGTGGATATTTGATGTTGGAGATACATTGTGGGGTTTGGAGTTACAGGAGGGATGTACCACAGGATTTCTGGGGAGTCATCTTCTCAGCCCTTCACTTTTCCCCAAACCTTCAGTGGCCAGTAGAAGAAATGGCTTTAGGTGAATTACAGTCCACAAATGAGCATTTGATATCAGTCAGTATGCCATAATTTATTTTCTAAAAGCAGTCTTCTAAGAGTATTGTTTCGCTCCCGAGGGAAAGTGAAGGAAACAGTTATAACATGCTGTATGAAGTGTGAAGCTTCACTTTCAGGATCTAGGATTCTGGTTCCTATTGAAGTATCTGTTCTTTCTAGCATCTAACATGCTAGTGAAGTCTTTTTTTCTTTTAAATATATCTTAATGATTTCAGAGAGAGGAAGGGAGAGGGAGAGAGAGATAGAAACATCAGTGATGAGAGAGAATCAGGAATCAGTTGCCTCCTGCAGGTCCCCTGCTGGGGATAGAGCCTGCAACCCAGGCATGTGCCCTGACCCGGAATGGAACCGTGATCTTCTGGATCCTAGGTTGATGCTCAACCACTGAGCCACGCCTGGCAGGGTTAGTGAAGTCTTTCTTGGAGAGTAATTCTCTTGGGAATCGGGTACTCAGCCTTTCTCATCATTGACTTTCCACATCTCTGTCTGTAAGAATGGAGCTGGGCAAAGCCATCACTTGGCAAGCTGAAATTTAACAGGGCCAACCATTTCCGTACAGACCAGGAGCCAAGTCGGAAAGTGATCTTGGTGTCCCTTGTGTGGGGGTGCATGTGTGTGAGATTTATAATGCTGGAGTATGGTGCCTCAACTTTGACTGACCAAGGTGTTGACAGGGCAGCTCAGCCAGTTAGTTTGATAAACCAAACTTGGATGTGAATAGAGTCCCAGCAAGCAACCAAGATATGTTAGTTGGGGAGGATGAGAGCAGTAGGGAGTAGTAAGGCCTGTGTCAAACAGCCAACAAAATAGGCCTGCGCACCTAGCTCTGCGACTTGCGCTTCTTGCTGGAAATCAGAGGGACTGCCTTGTCTCGTCCCCACCTGCTCTTAGAATCTTTCTCCTGGGCTGGCTAATGTGAGAAAACCGTGTTGGGTGAAGTGCCAGAGCCCAGTCTCAAGAGTTGCTGGAGCTGCCATTGTTTGTCAGAGAGCATTTCTGGGGCCTTAATTTCCTCGCGTTTATGAGGGGATGGGACTGCTCGTCTTCTAAGGCCCTGTAGCGTCTAGCATTCTGTGAAATGAAGGGAGGTTATGTGGAAAGCTTATTGGTTGCCTTCTGTGTGCCAGCTACTTACTTGTGTGGGTCAGCTTTTATTAGTTTGCCTTCTTTTTCTGATGAGAAAACTCATGCCTATAGAGAGGTTAAGTGTTCAGTGACTTGGCAAGATCACAAAGCTAATAAGTGGACCAGCCCGTGAACCTGCATCTCAGAGGCACACATCCTTGGTACTGCTCATCACGTAGGGGTTCTGAATGTGAGCTTATCTCCAAGGCTCCAGATCATAACTCAGAGTTGACAGCAGTAACAAAACCAGCTGGTTGGATGAGTTCACCAAGTGGTCCTCTGCTGGGAACATCCCAGAAAGACAACATACATGCTCACTATAAAATTCATTGGTGGGAATTTTGTAGGGCATGGGGTAGGAATATCAGGGAGGAAAATAACCTACAAACCTAATATTTGGGGGATTTCATTACATTTCTGCACTGTCCATGCTTCAGTTTGCCTCAAAATGGATGTGTTGCCAAGTAGCTTCCTTACATAGGTGTGGGGCCATTTAATTAAAGGCTAAAGTGCTGCCAGCACCTTTGATAGAGGGCACCACATGCATTACTAGCTCAGGTCTCATTTTTAAAAAAGAATCTCTATCAGAGCATAGCTCTTCCACGCGTGGTATTTTTAGTCCATTCTGTGACTTGTTCCACGCCTGAGAAGTTTGACGTCCTGTTCCCCAGACCTCAGACCCACCACCTTAGTGGCGCGTGGGCAGAGAAGTGAAGGTTGACACATTTGTGCCCCCACTCAACATTTTATTTTAATATCAGCCAAGTATTTCTCTCCACAACTGTGGGAAATGCTAAAACCACTCCAGCCCACTTACACTATGATACATTTTCTTTCTACTTTTTCTTGATCGTCTCTAAAAGTTTCTAGTAGCACATCTTTAAATAATTATTGCACTGGAAAGCCTTAGCCAGCAAGTCTTCCTTGCATTTGGATTGGATTGTTTTTGGTCTTTAAAAAAAAGACCAAAAACACAACAAGTTAGGTAACCCAGTTGAAAATTAAAAGCTCCCAGGGTGGATTCATCTAGTCCAGTGGCAACAAATTCTAAATACCAGGAGAGCATCGTTAGACCTGTGGCCTCATCAGACCCTTGGCCTCGGGGGATGGGAGACCTCAGGAGCAGCAGAGCTGTGGGGAGCTGGGGAGCACATGCCATCTCCAAAGGGTGACTTTTGCTCTGTGCTGGGTGACTGGCAAGAGTGGCAAAGTGTGTTCAGCCAGGCTAGACCTTTGAATTTTTTTTTTTTTTTTTTTTTTGGAAAAGCCAAAAAGCTGCATTTTTTTTTTAACATTGCCTAAACTCAAATTTAAAGGCAGCACTTTCAGGCCAAACCAACCATGCCTGTGGACCAAATTCCATCTGCCAGTGTGCAACCTCTGACCTGGTTCTCTCTTAGAAAACATTCATTGAGCCTTATCTTCATGAACTTTGGAACTTGGATGGATCCCAACTGTATATGATTTTTTAGCTTATTTTCTTTTCATCTTTATTTTGCCAAGAGAGTAGTCCATTCTAACCATTGGGAGACCTGCATTGTTGTGCTAGTGACTCTGTGTTTGACCTTGTACCAGCCAGTTTCTTTCTTTGCACCTGAGTGTTTTCATCTTTAAGGAAAGGTTGGCCTAAATGATTATACCAAGGATCTTTTCTCAGAACCCAGTAAACTACCAGGGAAGAGAGCACTACCAGGACATAGAACTGGGTTCTCATCCTGGCTTCGTATGACCCTGGTTCAGTCATGTACTTGCCTCAGCCCGTATGACCATCCTGGCAGGTGGGTGCTCTGAGATCACATTTGAAGTGGTATAGAGGGATTTTGCTTCACCATATCAGATGGCTGGTACTAGGGTTGTTGCTTGGTGAGAGTGATTGATCGTCTAGAAGTCTGGAGGGATAAGCCAATTAGCCAAAGCCACTTCAGAGATCTCTCTTAACTTGGAAATCCCCCTAAGACAAAATAATCTCCTTGGAAACTAAGCTGTCCCTGCAGTCCTCTCTAGCAGCTGCTGTTGACCAGGTTGGCAGCCCTGGAGCCCACATACAGTTACAGTGAGGCTCCAGATTGTAAAGCACAACGTTGAAAATACAGCTTGTAAGTGTGAAATTCAGAACAGAGGCACTAGAATGCTAGGTAGGAGAACTGAAGTTTAGTGCTGATTCCACACTTAGTTGCCCAAAGATTTTTCCCAGGTTGCATGGCCTGGAACT